TGAGAAGAGCTTAAGTCAGGAGACAGTGGAGGCCATTCTTTAGTAGTCAGTGGAGTGAAAGGGAGTACGGGGTGGGGACAGACAGTGGACAGGACAGTTAGACAGGGTGAGTCTGTGAGAGAAAGGAGAAAGACAGAGCTCAATGGGCTTACGGGGCAGAAAGTGGATGGGGGTAAGACTAGACTTGAACATAGGTACAGATTATGAGGATAGAAGGGGCTTAAGAGGAAAATGTTAAAGATCTAGCAGTGGGGATGTAAAAGAAAGTGGTCCTAGAAAGTTGAAGAGTAGGGGAAATGTGTTAAAGCATAAAGAGGAAGAGTGATCCTGGCAGAGGGGTGGCCCCATCTCCTTTGAGGCTGTAAGAGGGTATAGAGAGCTGGGGAATTTTACACACAAATCTTTCCTGGAGAACATAACCCTGAAAATCTGTGGATCACCCTCAGTTGTTAGATTTGTTCTTAGAAATACTTGTGGATGCCAACACAGAAGACTGTAGGCCTTCCATTCCTCCAAATAACTTAGGATTTCTATTTCAACATCAAGATAAACCACCGGAGAACCATGACTTTGGACTACACAGTTTTGTCTGTTTTCTCAGAGTCCTTCTTTGGCATTATAAACTAGGCAAAGAAATAGAAGACATATAAAAAAACCAAATGGAAATTAAACAATTGAAACATCAAAAACCAAAAGGAAAACTCAGTGGGTGAGCTCAATAGTAGTTTAAATATGAGAGAGAAAAGAATCAGTGAGCTCAAAGAAAGATCAGTGAAAATTAATCAATCTGAGCAACAGAGAGAAAACAGACTGGGGGAAAAACCCATGAGAGCCTGAGGGACCTGTGAAACAAGAAAAGATCTACCATTCATGTTATTGGAGTCCCTGAAAGAGAGGAGAAAGTATAGGGATGAAAAAATATTTGAAGAACTAATAACTAAAAATTTCCCAAATTTGGCAACGGGCATATACTAATAGATTCAAAAAGCAGAGCAAACACTAAACAGGATAAACCCAAAAGATTCATGCCAGGTTACATCATAATCAAACTTCTGAACTCTATATACAAAGAAAAAACACTCTGAAAGCAGCTTGACAGAAAGGATGCATTACAGATAGGAAAACAATGGGTCAAATGCGGTAGATTTCTCATCTGAAACAAAAAAGGACAGAAGGAAATGACATGCTTTTCACGTACTGAAAGAAAAGAACTGCTGAGCCCGAATCCTATGTCCCACAAAAATATCCTCAGGAACTAAGGGACATAAAGCCATTTTTAGATGAAGGAAAACAGAAATATCTGCTCAGAAGACCTACTCTAGAAGAAAGACCACAGGAATTCACAAAAAAGAAAGGAAATGTTAACAAAAGAAATCTTGGAATTTCAAAAAGGAAGAAAGAACAATGGAACGGGTAAAAGTAGACGTAAACTATGCTTCTCATGAGATGTGTAAAAATGCTTGACAGCTGAAGTAAAAATGAGGACATCGTCCAGTATGGTGCTCGTGTACGAACAGGAAATACTGAAGATTGGGGACTGTAAGGGGACCCCACAGAAGTAAGGTTTCTACACATCAAAGTGCTAAAATGGAAGGCTGTGATGTCATGTGTATACAACATAACACCTAGAGTAACCACTAAACTACAAAGAGATCTACTCAAAAACATCATAGATATATCAAATGGAATTATAAAAATTAAAGTAACCCACAGGAAGGCAAAAAAATAACAAGAGGAACAATAAATGGAACAAACACAAAAAACAAATCATAAAATGGGAGACTCAAGCCCTATCATATCAATAATTACTTTAAGTTTAAATGGTCTAAATATACCAATTTAAAAACAGAAATTGGTAAAATGTATAAAAAGAAAGCATAACCCCGACTATATGCTATTCCCAGAAACTTACTTCAAATGTAACAATATAAATAAGGTTGAAAATAAAATTATGGAAAAATATAAATCATGCAAACGTCAACTACAAAATGCAGTAGTAACTACATTAATATCAGATAAAGTATACTTCAAAGCAAAGAAAATTACAGGGGCAAAAAGGGACATTATATAAAGATAACAGGGTCAATACATCAAGATGACATAGCAATCCTAAGTGTACGCACCAAACAACAGAGCTTTGAAATACATGAGACACAAACTGACAGACCTTAAAGGAGGAACAGATAATTCCAGAATTACAGGGCAGGGCTTCAACACCCCTCTCTCAGCTATTGATAGAATTACTAGCCAGAAAATCAGCAAGGATATAGAAAATCTGAATAACATCATCAACCAACATGATTGTGTAGACATTGATACAAACACCACCCAAAGACAGTAGATTACACATTCTTTTCAAGCAGAATTACAGAACATTCATCAAGCTAGACCATATCCTGGGTCATAAAACAAATCTCAGCAAATTTAAACAGCCAGATCAAATGTAAAACGAACAGGAAATCAATAACAAAAAGCATGAAATACTCCAAACACTAGGAAATTAAACAATACTAAATAATCCACAGATTAGAGAGGAAGTCTCAAATAAAGAAATAGAACTGAATGAAATATAATTAAAATGTATTAAAACTTGTGAGATGAAGCTAAAACAGTGCTGTGAACAAAATTTATAGAACTTAATGCTTACATTACAAAATTAAAAAATCTAAGCAACCATCTCAAGAAACTACAGAGCAAAATACAACCAAAACAAGTAGAAGAAAGGATATAATAAAGATCAGAAGAGAAATCAGTGAAATTAAGAACAGAAAGATAACAGAGAAAAAAAACAATAATATAAAGTGCTGGTTCTTTAAAACAGTGAATAAAATTGAGAACTGTCTCAGAAGACTGACAGAGAAGACATGTTTCCAACAACAGGAATAAAACGTGGGATATAAGTACAGATTCTGCTGCCATTAAAAGGATTATAAAGGAATACTCAAAACAAATCAGAAAATTTAGATGAAATGGAACAAGTCCTAGAAAAGAATAAACTATGAAAATTCATCCAATATGAAACAAATACTCTGAATAGTTCTATACATATTAAATAAAATAAATAAATAAAAAGCATTCAAAAGAAAAATCTCCAGGCCTAAATGGTTCACTGGAGAATGCTACCAAACATTAAAACAAATAAAACCAATTCTACACAGTCTTCCAAATAATAGAAGAAAGAACACCTCTCAACACATGTTGGGAGGCCCGTATCATCTAGACACTAAACTAGACAATGACAGTACAAAAAAAAGAATGAACAAAAGTAAGAAAGAAAAATGCATACCATGATCACTCATGAAACAGAGGAAAACTTCCCCAACAAAATACGAGCATACTGGATACTGTAATATAATATATAAAAATAACTATATTCCATGACCAAGTGGGACTTAGTTCAAGGATACAAAACTGGTTCAATATTCAAAATTCAAATAAATGTAACACATCATATGAACCGGCTACAGAAGAAAAAAAAACATGATCTTATCAACTGATAGAGAAAACGCATTTGACAAAATTCAACACCCATTCACAATAACAAATCTCAGCAAATCAGGAATAGAGGGAAACTTTCTAAACTTAAAAAGAAACCTCTATGAAGGAAGCCTTACAACTAACATCATACTTAATGATGAAAAACTGAATGTTTTCCTTGTAATACGAGGAACCAGGCAAGGATATCCTTTCTCACTACTACTACTGAACGTCATATTGGAAATCCTAGCCAGTACACTAAGACAAGGAAAAAAAAAGGTATATGGATGGGAAGAAAGAAATAAAACTGTCTCTATTTGCACGTTATTTCTGTGTAGAAAATCCCAAGCATATTATCAAAAAAAAAAAGGCTACAGTTCAGCAAGATTGCAAGATACCAAAATAACATCCAAAAAATAACTGTATTTCTGTATACTACCAAAGGTTGTGCGAAAATTGAAATTTTAAAAATCAATGCTATTTATAATCACTCAAAATAAAGAAATACCTAGATATAAAGCTTACAAAAATTGTACAGGACCTATTACTGAAATTTACAAAACAGTAATGAAATAAATCAAGTGATATTTAAATGAATGCTGAGACATACCGAGTTTATGAATTGGAAGACTCAACACAGTAAAGATGCTGATTCTCAAAAAACTGATCTACAATTTAACTCAATTTCTATCAAAATTTGATAAAGATTTTTGTAAAAATAGACAAGCTAATTCAATCTTTATATGGAAATTCAAAATAACTAGCAGTATTAAACTAACTTTAAATAGGAAGATTAAAGAGAGATGAATTGCCTTACTCAATTAAAAGATTTACCACATAGCTACAGCAATCAAATAAACCAATAGAACAGGATCAAGAAAAAGTCTGATTATCAGTTCTTTAAAACCACATGAAGAAAAGGTTTGTTTTTTAAAAATCAAAGCCTTAAACAGTCTTAACTGATGCAGTAAAATGTGCCCATTCATATGTGTACTCTTATCTCCTCAAATATAAAGGTATTTGATGGCTCAAGCCTTCATACTTCTCACAAAAATTAAGCTCCTTAAGAGTAGAGACAATGTTTTAGAAGAAAGATGTTCAATGAAAGTTTCCAGACCTGCCCTCCACTGTCTAACTTGCCTCACGCTGGACAGCAATTAACGTATATACCAAACACATAAAGAGTCTAGGTCCTTTATCTCTGAAACAAACTCTCTTCCTACAAAGTAAACTAAGGGATCCATGACAAAGTGCCATAGGCTTGGCAAGGAAGTCAGAAAGAAACTGTGTTTGCAGGTCATTTTCTCTTGTAAGTCTCTTCCTTCTTCTTAAAAAGAAAATTCCTGAGATAACACTGCAGTGTAAACTAAGGAGAAAGATGTAGCTGAAGGTTTTCCTTAGTGCATAATAACCACTGGGTCTCTCTCCTGGATGAATCTCAGACATGGAATAAGGCTCTAGGCTGGGTCAATTTCCAGTATGACTCTTCAGATGACAACTGATATCCTGCAACAGGGTTTCTCACAGAGAAGAAAACTGAGGGGTTTCTCTTTGGTATGAATGATCAGATTCTGAGTAAGATGTTTCCTCTGGCAAAAGATTTTCCTCAGTGGTTACATTCAAAAAGTCTTTCCCCAATAGGAGTTCTTGGAGGTTGACCGAGGATTGCCCATTTGGGAAGGGTCTTCCCACTTCTGTTACACTGACAGGGTTTCTCCCAGAATGAACCCTCTGATGCTGAGTGAGGGATGAGCTTCGACTGAAGGACTTTCCACACTCACTGCACTCATAGGGCTTCTCTCCAGTGTGGATAATGGAATGTCGAATCAGGTTTGTGCTCCAGCAGAAGGTCTTCCCGCACTCGAGGCATTCATAGGGCTTCTCTCCACTATGAATCCGTTGGTGTCTCGTGAGGCCTGACCTGCGGTTGAAGGCCTTCCCACACTCCATGCACTCATACGGCTTCTCTCCAGTGTGGATGCTGAAATGTCGAATGAGGTCTGCCCGATTGCTGAAGGCTTTCCCACATTCTTTGCACTCAAAAGGTTTTTCTCCAGTGTGGGCCCTTTTATGCAAGATAAAAGTGGAGCAGTGGGTAAAGGCCTTTCCACATTCACTGCATACATAAGGCTTCTCCCCAGTGTGAATCCGCTGGTGCCTCTTGAGGTATGACCTGTGGTTGAAGGCCTTCCCACACTCCAGGCACTCAAAGGGCTTCTCCCCAGTGTGGATGACGTAGTGGTGAATGAGGGCTGCGCTCTCACAGAAGGCTTTCCCACATTCACTGCACTCATAGGGCTTCTCCCCAGTGTGAGTCTGCTGGTGCCACATGAGGTATGACCGGTGTTTGAAGACCTTGCCACATTCAAAGCATTCATAGGGATTCTCACCACTGTGGATGATGTAGTGTCGAATGAAACCAGGCCTATCTCGGAAGGCTTTTCCACATTCCTTGCACACAAAGGGCTTTTCTCCTGTGTGGCTCCTGTTATGCAAGACAAAAGTGGAGCGGTGGGTGAAGGCTTTTCCACATTCATTGCACTTATAAGGCTTCTCTCCACTGTGAATCCGCTGGTGTTGTGTAAGGTGTGACTTGCGGTTGAAGGCTTTCCCACACTCCATGCACTTATAGGGCTTCTCCCCAGTGTGGACCATATGGTGTTGAAGGAGGTAAGTGCTCTTACTAAATGTTTTCCCACACTCTGTGCATTCATAGGGCTTCACTCCAGAGTGAATCCTCTCATGTCGAGCAAGGAGGCGTTTCTTGTTAAAAACTTTCCCACATTCATTGCATTTAAAGATGTTTTCCTCTTCCCGAATCACGGGATCTCTAACTGATCCACAGGAGTCATGGTCAAGGACAGCACCTCCCAGAGGGACTGGCTCCTGTACAATCCATGAACAGACACCATCCACTGTCCCTAAACCATCATGTTCAGGGCTCATTTTCCCAGAGAGCTTCTTCCTCTGGGGGTCTATCCCTGGTCTCAAGTGTCCTTCTTGCATTTCCGATGGCCCATCCTGATCCTTGGTTTGGCCCACCTGGGAGTCCCCTGGGGCTCCTTGTGTTAGTTGTTGCTGGAGTAAGGCTCCTTCAGACTGGGCTGGCTCACAACTGGTAGGTTCTGTGATCTTGGGTTTTCCTTTATCACCTGAAAGAAATCCAAAACACAACAGGGCCTGTTAGTAATGCCAAAACAGAAGAAACAAAATCCGCATTTCTGTGAAGAAAGTGAAGATTAAAACACTGCCTCTGTGTCTACTGTGTTTTGCTACCTCTCAATCCCAGGATAGCAATCTTCTTCTTGCCTGGTCCTTGAACTGTTGACACCTTGAAAGTGAGAGCTAGGAGGAGAGGCTGGGTTAGGGGAGAGAGTGCTGGAGAGGAGACACAGTCAATTCCAGACCAGATATTTACGCAAACAGGTAACTCATTTGGGTCCCCAGATAGTTTATGCTGAAAAGATAATTCAGAGCAAGGCTTGGCCACACTAGAAAGATCAACCATGTGATTAGAGGGTTGGGGTTTTGAGCCATAAGATAACAATTAAGCTGATGGAAAGAGGACAGGAGATTGAATCCTGTAGGCAATGATTCAATCAACTGTGCATATACAATGAGACTCAGTAAATCTCTGGACTATGAAGCCAGATGAAACTCCTAGGTTGGCAATACTTCATGTATGTCTTACCATACATCAAAACCAAGAAGGTAACGAGTCCCTGAGGACGTGGTAACTCATGTTTGCAACCCCTCCAAAAACTAAAAAACACCTGATGCAGATCTACGAGAGAAAGACTTAACAACAAGCATCTTAAAGGAGCTAAAGGAAGATATGGAGAAAGTGACAAAAACTATGTATAAACAAAGGGGAAATATCAATGAAGAGGTAGAAAAACAAAACAAACCAAAAAGAAAATCTGGAGCAGAAAAGTACAATAACTTATGAAAAATAAACAAGTGATTCCAAGGAAGATGTGAGCAGGAAGAAGAATCGGTAAGCTTGAAATAGGACACTGGACATTATTGAGTCTGAGGAAGAGGGGGAAAAAAAAAGACTGAAGAAAAGTGAACAGAGCCTAAGGGACCTGTAATACACCATCAAGCAAATCAATAAACTCATTGTGGCAGTCCCAAAAGGAGAAGAAAGAAAGGTTCAGAGAGAATATTTGAAGAAATGGCAGAAAACTTCCCAAATTTGATGAAAGACATCAAAGAAGTTCAATAAACTCCAAGATGAACTCAAATAGACTCACATGGAGAAAAATTATAATCAAACTATGAAAGCCAACGATAAAGAAAATATCTTGACAACAAGAGTAAAAGCAAATTGTCACATACAAGGATTCCTCAATAAGATTATCAGATTTCTCATCAGAAACTTGAGAGGCCAGAAGGCAGTGGGTCAACATAAGCAAACATAAAAGAAAAAAACTGCCAACCAAGAATCCTATGTCCAGCAAAACTGTTCTTCAAGAGTGAGGGAGAAATTAAGACATTCCCATATGTAAAAGCTGAGGGAGATTGTTACCACTAGACCTGCTTTGCAAGAAATTCTCAAGAGTCCTGCAGGTTGAAATGAAAGGTCACTAGACAGTAATTCAAGACCATATGAAGAAATAAAAATGTCAATAAAGGTAAATATATGGGCAATTATAAAAGCTAGTATTACTGTAACAATGGTTTATAACTCCACTTTTTGTTTTCTATATGATTTAAGAGACTAATTTTTAAAAAATTATTAGTCTAAAAGCTGGTAGTATTGTAACTTTAGTTTACAACTTCACATGTAGTTTCCTACATAATTTAAGAGACTAATATATTTATGAGAGTTATTAGTTTAAGTTTTTGGGTATACAATATATAAAGATGTAATTTTGTGACATGAATAACTGAAAGAGGTAGGGATGGAGGTTTTCAAAGGAGTATTTTTTATGTTATTAAAGTTAGGCTAATATAAATTCAAGTTAGTGTTATAACTTTAAGTGTTAAATGTAATCTCCGTGGTAACCAGAAAGAAATTAGCCATACAGTATATGCAAAAGGAAATGAAAAAGAAATCTAAATGTTTTACTGAAAAAGTCAACTAAACACAAGAGAAGACAATAATGTAGAAAATGAGTGACAAGAAAGCTATAATACATATAGACAACAAATATCAAAATGACCGGGGCTGGCCCCATGGCCGAGTGGTTAAGTTCACACATTCCGCTTCGGTGGCCCAGGGTTTGCTGGTTTAGATCCTGGGTGCAGACCTCCACCACACTCATCAAGCCATGCTGTGGCAGCATCCCACATAGAAGAAGTAGAATGAACTGCAACCAAGATATACAACTATGTACTGGGGCTTTGGGGAGAAAAGGGGGAACAAAAAAAAAAAAAAAAAAGGAAAATTGGCAACAGATGTTAGCTCAGGGCCAATTTTCCAAGAAAAAGAAACTAAGCTCTTTCCATATGTAATACTAATTTAAAAAAAATGCCAGAAGTCTCTCCATATCAGTAGTTACTTTAAATGTAAATGGATTAAACAGAGATTGGCAAAACGATAAAAACACATGATCCAACTATGTGCTTTCTACAAGAGACTCACTTTAGATCCAAAGACACAAATAGATTGAGAATGAAAAGAAGAAAAAAGATATTCCATCCATATACTAACTAAAAAAGAGCAGGGATGGCTCTATTAATATCAGACAAAATAGACTTTAAATCAAAAAAGATTATGAGAGACAATTAGAAAAGGTATAATTCAGCAACAAGATATAACAGTGGTAAACACTTACATACTTAATGACAAACCATCAAAATACATGAAGCAAAACCCAACAGAATGGAAGGGAGAAAGAGACAGATCTATGATAAGAGATGGAAACTTCAGTACCCTACTCTCAATAATGAATAGAACAACCAGACAAAAGACAAGTAAGGAAACAGAGGACTTAAACAACATAATAAACTGTCTAGATCTAACAGACATATACAGAACATTCTACCCAACAATAGCATACACATTCTTCTCAAGTGTACTCGAGACATTTTCCAGGATAGACTATACATTAGTCCATAAATTAAGTCTTGAGAGATTTTAAAAGGATATCATACAAAGTATAATTTGTTTCTAATGAAAATGAAAACTTAACATACCAAAATTTATGGGATGAAGTAAAAGCAGTGTTAAGAGGGAAATTTATAGCTACAAATGGTTACATTAAAAAACAAAAAGATCTCAAATCAACAACCTAATTTAACAACTTAAGGAGGGAGGAAAAGAACAAAGTAAACCCAAAGCTAGCAGAAGGAAGGAAATAATAAAGATTAGAATAGAAATACATGAAACAGAGAATAGAAAAATAGAGAAAATCAATGAAACAAAAAGCTGGTTCTTTGAAAAGATCAACAAGAATGACAAACCTTTAGCTAGATGGACTAAGAACAAGAGACCCAAAACACTAAAATCAGAAATTGAAGTGTGGACATTACTGTCAATTCTACAGAAACAAAAAAAGAGGTCTAAGAGAGTATATGAACAACAGTACACCAAAAAATTGGACAACCTAGATGAAATGGAAAAATTCCCAGAAACAAAAAACCTGTCAAGACTAAATCATGAAGAAATAGAAAATCTGAATAGATCTATACCTAGGAAGGAGATTAAATCAGTAATGGAAAGTCTCCCAACAAAGAAAGACCCTCAACTTAATGGCTTCATTGGTGAAGTCTACCAAATATTTGAAAAGAACTAACAACTAACACTAATTAAAAATAATAATACCAGTCCTTGTCAAATTTTTCCAAAAAATTGAAGAGGAGGAAACACTTCTTAACTCATTCTGAGGGCAGTATTACCCTGATAACAAACCCAAAGACACCACAAGAAAGGAAAACTATAGACCAATATCCCTCATGAACACTAACGCAAAAATCCTCAACAAAATATTAGCAAATCAAACTCAGCACATTAAAAGGATCATACACCATGATCAAGTTGGGTTTACTCCTGTAATGCAAGGATGGTTCAACATATGAAAATTGATCAATGTAACACACCATATTAACAGAATGAAGGAAAAAACACACATGATCATCTCAAGTGATGTAGTAAAAGCTTTTGACAAAATTGAACACCCTTTCATAATAAAAACACTCAACAAACTAAGAACAGATGGAAACTACCTCAACATAATAAAAGCCATATATGAAAAATCCACAGTAAACATCATACTCAATGGTGAAAGACTGAAAACTTTTATTCCAAGATCAGGAATAAGGAAAGGATGTCTGTTTTCATCACTTTTTTTTTTTTTTTTTTTGAGGAAGATTGGCCCTGAGGTAACATCGGCCACCAATCCTCCTCTTTTTGCTGAGGAAGACTGGCCCTGAGGTAACATTCGTGCCCATCTTCCTCTACTTTCTATGTGGGACGCCTGTCACAGCACGGCTTGACAAGCAGTGCAGGTCCATACCCGGGATCCCAACTGGTGAACTGCAGGCCACCGAAGTGGAACATGAGAGCTTAACCGCTGTGCCAGTGGGCCGGCCCATTTTCACCACTTATATTCAACATAATACTGGAAGTTCTACCCAGAGCAATTAGGCATAAAAAGAGAAATAAGGGGCCGGCCCAGTGGTTGGGTTTCTATGCTCTGCTCAGCACCCAGGGTTCATGGGTCTCACATCCAAAAGAGAGGGAGACAGGCACAGATATTAGCTCAGGGCCACTCTTCTTCAAGCAAAAAGAGGAAGACTGACTACAGATGTTAGCTCAGGGCCAAACTTCCTCACAAAAAAAAAAAAAGAGAGAGAGAGAGAAATAAAATACATCAAAATTGGAAAGGAAGAAGTAAAATTACCTTTGTTTCTTATCATCATAAGATGATATGATCTTATATGTAGAAAACTCTAAAGATGCCACAAAATAATTGTGAGAAGTGATAAATGAATTCAACAATGTAGTAAGATACAAAGTCAACACAAAAATCAGTTGCATGATTTCTATATATAGTAATGAATAATCTGAAAAGGAAATTATGAAAATAGTTCCATTTACAATAGCATAAAAAAAATAAAATACTTAGGAACTAATTTAAACAATGAAGTGAAAGAGTTGTACAATGAAAACTACAAAACATTGCTGAAAGAAATTAAAGAATATGTAAATAAGTGGAAACATATCATCTTCATGGACTGGAAGACAATATGGTTAAGATATTGAGACCACCCAAAACGATCTATAGATTCAACACAATCCCTATCAAAATCCCAATGACATTTTTTGCAAAAATAGAAAAATCCATCCTAAAATCCATATGGAATCTCAAGGGATCCTGAAGAACCAGAACAATCTTGAAGAACAAAGCTTGAGGACTCAAAATTCTTTATTTCAAACTCACTACAAACCTACAGTAATCAAACAGTGTGGAACTGGCACACAGAAAGAAAAACAGACCAAGGGAATAGAATCATGAGCCCAGAAATAAATCTTCACATACACCACCAAATGATTTTTGACAAGAGTGCCAAGACCATTAAACGGGGAGAAGAAGTTTTTTTAAGAAATTGTGCTGAGAAAACTGGAAACCTACATGCAGAAGAATGAAACTGGACCCTTATCTAATATCCTATACAAAAATTAACTCAAAATAGATCAAAGACTTAAATATAAGACTTAACACTATCAAACTCTTAGAAGAAAACCTAGGCATGGCATTGGATTCGGCAATGATATCTCGAATATGACACCAAAGGCACAGGTAACAAAAGAAAAAATAGACAAATCAGAGTTCATGAAAATTAAAAAAACTTTGTGCATCAAGACACTACCAACAGAGTAAAGGGAACCCAAAGAATGGGAGAAAATATCTGATAATCATGTCTGATGAGGGATTAATATCCAGGACATATAGAGAACTAAAACTCAGTAACAGAAAAAACAAGCAATCCAATTCAAAAATGGCCAAAGCACCCGAATAGACATTTTTCCAAAGAAGATATACAAATGGCCAACAAGCACAAGAAAAGATGTTCAACATCAGTAATCATTAGGGAATGCAAATCAAAACTACAAAGAGAGATCTTCTCACACCCATTAAGATGGCTACTATTAAAAAACACAGAAAATAAGTTGGTGAGGATATGGAGAAATTGAATCTCTTGTACACTGTTGGCAGGAATATAAATGGTATAGTCTCTGTGGAAAACTGTATGGCAGTTTCTCACAAAATTAAAAATGGAGGGGCCAGCCCCGTGGCCGAGTAGTTGGGTTCGCGCGCTCCGCTGCAGCGGCCCAGGGTTTCGCCAGTTTGGATCCTGGGTGTGGGCTCGTCAGGCCATGCTGGGGCGGCGTCCCACATGCCACAGCTGGAAGGACCCACAACTAAAGAATATATACAACTATGTACCGGGGGCCTTTGGGGAGAAAAAGGAAAAAATAAAATCTTTAAAAAAAAAAAAATTAAAAATGGAATTACCGCATGATCCAGCAATTGAAGTTCTGTATATATGACCAACAGAACTGAAATCAGGGCCTCAAAGAGATATTTTTACTCCCATATTCATAGTAGCCTTATTCAAAATAGCTAAAACATGGAAGCAACTCAAGTGTCCACTGAGGGATAAACAGATAAGCAAAATGTGGCGTATGTACATAATGGAATATTATTAAGCCTTAAAAAGGAAGGAAATTTTGACACATGCTACACAACATGGATGAGCCTTGAGAACATTATGCTAAGTGAAATAAGCCAGTCACACACACACAAAAATAATGCATGATTTCACTTATATGAGGTACTTAGTCAAAATCAGACACAGAAAGTAGAACTGTGGTTGCCAGGGGCTGGGGGGGGGATGGTGTTAAGGAAATGGGGGGGTTATTGTGTAATGGGTAAGAGTTTCAGTTATGTAGATGAATGGTGGTGATGGTTGCATGACATCAACATATTTAATACCACTCAATTGTACACTTAAAAATGGCTAAGATGATAAATTTTATGTAATGTGTATTTTTACCCCACACACACACACACACACACACACACACGATGATATGAGGAACGTACAAAGAATCCCTACAAATCAAAAAGAAAATGCAAACAAGTTAATAGAAAAATAGATATCGACATTTTAAAGAAGAAAATACAGACTGGCCCAAAATCATATGATAAGATGCTAAAGTTCCTTAGCAGTAAAGGAAAAGCAAATCAAGACCATATGAGGTAGAATTTTGTGTCCACTTGATTGTCAAAAATTGAAGAGTCTCATAGTATCAAGCATTGGGCAAGGTATAGGCCGAAAGAACCTCCACTCTTTGCTGGGAGAAGTGTAAATTGGTATAGTTCCTTTGGAAAAAATGAGAAGTATCTTGTAAACTTCAAAATCTGCATAGCCTATACCAACAATTTGACTTTGAGAAACATCAAAAGACACCTCTAGTCATATGCAACATGACCAATACACATGAATGTTCTTGGCAGCACTGTTTGTGAGAGTGAAAAGATGTGAAAAATTAAATGCCCTAAAAAGTGGATAAATACAACATGAGACAGGACCATTTTTAATTTTTTTCTTCAAATGTAAGGAACTTGCGCACATTTTATATTGACTAGGGAAAGGATGAAGCTGCAAAACAAGCAGAATATAAGTGAAGCAAGTATTTCCATGAAAAGGTGATTTCTAGATGCTGGTGTCAGAATTGGCCATGGCCAAGGGCAAGACTTCTTCCACTAGCTGAAAAGAGAAGCCACAGACATGAGATCCTTTTTTTCTGGTGAGGAAGATTTGCCCTGAGTTATCATCTGTCGTTGATCTTCCTCCTTTTGTTTGAGGAAGATTCAGCTGAGCTAACATCTGTGTCAATCTTCCCCTATTTTGTATGTGAGTTGCTGCCACAGCATGGCTGCCAATGAGTGTTGTAGGTCCGTGCCTGGGAACCAAACCCAGGCCGCTGAAGCAGAGTGCACTGAACTTAACCACTAGGCCACAGGGCTGGCCCCCAGACACAAGATTCTAAATGAGGTTAAGTGGTTAAGTTCACGCACTCTGCTTTGGTGGCCCAGGGTTTCAATGGTTCGGATCCTGGGTGCGGATCCTCGGCACCACTCATCAGGCCACGCTGAGGTGGCATCCCACACACCACAACCAGAAGGACCCACAACTAAAATATACAACTATGCACTGGAGGGATTTGGGGAAAACAAACAAACAAACAAACAAAAAAACCAAAAAGACTGGCAACAGTTGTTAGCTCAGGTGCCAATCTTTAACAAATAAAGAAAAGAAAGGAAAAGATTCTAAAGAGTGTGGAAGGGTTGAGGATCAGGCAGTAGAAGGAGGTAGACTTCACTTTCAACATGAAAACTAGCTGACACATTAGTGGCCAGATACTGAGACATCTGTAGCTGGAGAAGTGGTAACTGTTTGGAACAAAGTCTGAGCACCTGGGCTGGCTTGTGCAGGACACAGAGCTGACCAGAGGCACAGAGTAGATGGACAGACCAGTTAGGAGACGATTAGCACCCCCAGGGAAAAGATGACGAGAGCTCGGATTGAGAGTGTGGGGACAGATCTCATGGAAGTGGTACAAGTGATGGATTCAGGAGACGTACATGATGTAAAATGGACAGGATTTGGGGATGGCCGGATGTAGGGAGGGATGGAGGTGGAAGTAGGAGAAATTCTGTGAGGCTGTATCTAGTCTCTAACCTGCTTCTAACCACTCACTCAAGCTCAAGAGGTGGGAGGAGCGAGCAACATTACGAGTTCCTTGCCAGGCATGTTGACTTCGGGTGACTATGAGATACTCAAGTGCAGATGTGGGATTGAGGAGAGGGCAGAAGGCCTGGAACAGACTCTGAGGGGCTGATGATGACCTATATATGGACACGCACAGGCTGGCTGAACAGCTCAAGGGACCAATAGAGGGGAGACAGAATGACTCTGCAGTGGCACCAATCACACACACGATGGCCCCAATGCCCTCAGGAGCCCAGATGTGGGGCAGAGAAGGTCAAACGTCACCTTGAGGTCTTAGCAATCAGGAGGGGCAGGAAGACAGGGACAAGGGAGTGCCTCTGAGTTTCTAACTGACACTCAGAGGAGGGGTGGAGGGAGAAGGTGGAAAGGGGGTTGGCAGAGTGTTGCTGGAGAGAGTGAGTGGGAGAGGAAGGCCTTTCCTCACTGTTCAGAGAGACACGTGAGACACACTCTTCATTTCTTCATTCTGACTAATATGACAGGAACACCACTGAGAGCTCCCTTTCACGATGGCTCAGACGCTGCGCTCAGCAGTTTTCCGCATTAACACACTATGTGACTACATCCCAACAACCCAATGACACAGAAGCTATAATTACTAGCATTTTCCAGGAACAGACGGAGTGTAGCAGACCACACTCACCCAACACTTTGCTCCTCTCCTTGGATACACAGCTCGGCCTCATTTCCCAGCCCCAGGCACCCAAATGAGGCCAAATGCCTACTTCTTCTAAGTGGGATATGAGGGGACCTGGTGTCTGTGGGAGTGGGTGTGACACCTTCCCTTCCCCTCAGTCTCCTCTGCCAGCTGAAGGACGTCAGGACAAGCTTAAAGCCATATGTTGATGACAGAATGGACCTGGGTCCTTGAACAACTGTGTGGTACACAGCTCCCCGCCGACCCACATGGACCTTGGCGTGAGTGAGAAAAACAGCTTCCACATGCTGAGCACTGAGATCCTGGAGTCTGTCTGATACGGTAGCTGGCTTTAACTCAGCTGAACTCATACACAAAGACACATGAGATCCTGCACCTTGCTAGAGCCACAGGGCTGGTGATCGGCAAGACAGGCTTTCAGCCCAAGCAGCTGGAGCCCAAGTCAGATCTCAGCTCATATACCTCTGTCTGCTGGGAGGATAGAGGGCCCAGGGGTCAAAGGGCTCCATGGCGTCCAAACCACCAGAGGCCATGACAAGAAGCTTCCCAGGGAACCACGGCCAGAGGTCTCCCCCAGGCCTCAAGCCTGCAGGCTCTCCCACCTGCCCACCAGGGCTCTTACCTGGACAGGGGCTTTGGGAGAGGTCTTTCTTCACAGTCCACAGCTCTTGCCCGTGCTCCAGCTGGCAGATCAGCTCAGGTCTGGGAACCGGACACCCTGTTCATGGAGAAGGAAAGAGGACACATAAGGGTTTTTGAGAAATGAAGTAAAACTTCTCAATCTAGCCTGGGACTTCAGAATGTGGACAAGATCTCAGAATAGAGCTGCTCCCATGCACACAAAATGCTGACCTGAGACCTGGAAACCATACTGCCGTGGAGTTTTTATTCCTGATACTAAGTCAAAAACTAATATATAGAGAGAGTTTAATCATATTCAAAGGACTGTGTCAAGAAACATCCATGTGTTATGTCATCTCAAAATTGAAATTAATCTATAGAGTAACTCAAACAACTGACATATTTAAAATATTGGCTCTTTTCATTCAAAACAAGGTATGTGTCGTCATTGATCTAGGTCTCTTTTTAGATCCTAAGCAAAGTTTTGTATTGTTCTTCCTCTACACCACAGACAAAAATTAGAATTTTATCTTAGGATTTCCTCACAGCATCCCCAGCAAGTCTGCATTGCAATCAGCACCATTTTATAGATGAAGAAACCAGAGCTCAGGCACATAACGTGATTTACCAAAGAGCACAGAACTGGTGAATGGCTGAGCCAAATGGAAATGCAGGTCTAGCCATCTCTGCTGTCTGCGCTGTTTTACCACAAAGCTACAGGACTCTGCTCCAGAAGATGCTGAGTCGAGGCATGAGGACGATGAGAATCCTGATGAGAGTGACAGCAGCGGGGGCAGCGGGGCTCTCAGCTGCCACCCTGCATACCGCCTGGTCCCATCAGGCACTGTTCTGAGTCCTTTTCCTAAGCTCCCCATTTACCCTGGCTACAGTCCCAGGAAGCAGACACCACAGTACCCCATTTTACCAAGGAGCACACTGAGGCATGGACAGGTTCAGCAACTTGCCCAGGCCCACACAATCTTTAAGAAGCTGAGCTAGGACTAAACACCAGGGGTCTGGCTCTGGACCCTGGTCTCCCAAACACTACACTAGGGAGGAAACAGCGAACACCCTTGTGTGGGGCCAGCAGCCTGAGACCAAGTGGAGGGTGGTGGTGAGGCTGGGACATGAGCACCAAGATTTATCCTTAGGGAACAAGGGCCAGGGGAGGGGCAGACTCAGCAACTCTAGACCTCAGCATTTCATGAACTACCAAACAATAACAAAATTGAAAATCTGACACAGTGATACGGTCACATATGGACATTTACAGAAATATCAAATATTATCTCTTGTCAAATTTCAGAAAAAAATGACTTTTACTACAGAGGACAGCTTCATAAAATGAACATGTAAGTTCAATACCGAGTTAAGTTAAGCTGCATGAAGGACTCGCCGCAGTAGCTGAGTTTTCCTGACTTTGCTGAGGACGGTGACGCCATGAGAATTAGATGAGTAGAGCAGGAACAGTGCCTGGAACAGACCTGACAAGCAGCCAGTACTCCAAGGACCTGAGCAAGCTGGTGACTACTATAAACCACTTTTCTTAAAAGTGACTCACTTTTAATTTTCCTTAGATTCTTTCAAAAAGGGAATCCTGCATTGCTCTGGTAAATGGGAAACCAAGTCCCTTGCCTTGATGGCAAGTCACCCTGAAAATGCAGACACACAATCAAAGCGATGTTGCTGAGGCCTGGCAGGCTCACACGGCCTGCTTGGGGCTGTGCATGTCCTCTGCTGAAAAGGGGAGGCAGCCACAGTTGCGGGGTGGAGTGTTAAGATTCAGCCCTAAACTCAGATTTTCCTTCAACAATCAGGAGGCAGGAAAGAGATGAAATAAAGGAATGGCTTCCTCAGGGAGTCTCTCAATGCCCATGATGAAGTGTCTGTGTGCCCTTTGAAACAGGGTATCTCAAACTCTGCATGACTAACATTTAGATCCAGAAAATTCTCTGTTGGGGAGAGAGGGAGGGAGTGTGTATGTCGTGTACATATAAGGATGTTTAGCAGCATTCCAGGTCTCCACCCACCAGATGCCTGTAGCATCTCCATCCCAGTGTGACAACCAAAAATGTCTCCAGACATTGCCATGTGTCTCTAGGGGACAACATTGTCCTTGGATGAGAACCACTGGCATAGGAGGATATAAATAGGGTGATGGGAGAAAGCGAGTGTGACAGAGGAGGGACCTCCATGAGATTTTGGGGTCATGAAGCCACTGGTGAGGAGGTGGTGACTGTGCTAAGAAGGGGTGACCACGTAAAGGTTGAAATACCCAGGAACAGTCACCAGGCAGAGAGAACAGCAAGTGCAGAGGCCAAGGCAGGCATGTGCAGGCGGGGTGCAGTGGAGGAAGGGAGAATACGGCAAGAAGCCCAGCATGAGCAAAGCAGAGCGACCTGGAGGAGACTATGTGAAAGTGAGGGATGCACTCAGCAGGGCTACATGTGGACTTTTACAGCCACATGTCACTCAACAACAGGGATACGTTCTGAGAAATGCATCGTTAGGCAATTCCATTCTTGTGCAAACATCAGAGTGTACTGAAGGGGAACAAAATTCGCCACCCCAAAACGTATCTCTTTAACATGAGGATTATTTTACACAGATTTTTTTTTTTGGAAGATTAGCCCTGAGCTAACTGCTGCCAATCCTCCTCTTTTTGCTGAGGAAGACTGGCCCTGAGCTAACATCCATGCCCATCTTCCTCTTCTTTATATGTGGGACGCCTACCACAGCATGGCTTTGCCAAGCGGTGCCATGTCCGCACCCGGGATCCGAACTGGTGAACTCTGGGCCGCCAAAGTGGAACATGTGCACTTAACTGCTGCGCCACTGGGCCGGGTCCACAGGCAGATTATTTCTAAGAAACAAAAGACTCAGAAAGTTTTTCTTGTTACCTCCCCCTAACTGCCTAAAAGAATTCAGATAAAAAAACCTGTCTTGGGGCCAGCCCAGTGATGCAGTGGTTAAGTTCACACATTCCACTTTGGCGGCCTGGGGTTCACCAGTTCAGATCCTGGGTGCAGACCCACACACTGCTTGTCAAGCCATGCTGTGACAGGCATCCCACATATAAAATAGAGGAAGCTGGGCATGGATGTTAGCTAGGGTCAATCTTCCTCAGCAAAAAGAGGAGGATTGGCAGGAGGTTAGATCAGGGCTAATCTTCCTCAAAGAAAAAAAAAAAGTAGAGTCTTAGAAAGGTCATCACAGAGAGGGGCGGAGCAAAATGGTGGGGTGAGCTGACCCGGGACTCTCTCCCCTCCAAATTACAACAAAGGATTGGAAAAACTGAATTTCAGATAATAAATCTAATGCCAACACGTCAGAGACCTACAGGACCAAGAAGACGGAGGACGGAAACCTTGCTGCTGGCCTCAGAGCAGCTGGAAAGGGGTAGGAGAGAACTTCGCTGGAGAGATCGGGATCACTGCCGGGAGTGTGGGAAGGAGCGGGGGAGGGGCCACAGGACCAGGGGATCATCCAGGACTCCCGCTACTGGTACAGTGGAAACCCGCTGACAGGGGAAAGCTTCCGTGCACGGGGACCCCATAAACCCAGGGCCCCAGGAGACCAGAGAACAGAACTGATCCGAATCCAGATCGGCAGGTGAGAATAGCAGCCCCTCCCTCCCAGCAAAGTGCACTGGGCTCCGCCATCCTGCCGAAGGCAGAGAGCTCAGAACACGTGGCTCTCGACCCCCATCTAGCGGCGACAGGCTGTAACTGCAACCGAATTCTACCACTATGGGAAAAAACCGCTCCTCTACCATCCAGCAATTTATAAAAGCCCCAGAGCAGAAGGAAAACAATAAAAACATAGAATTAAGTCCTGAGGACTTGGAATTAGGTGAACTAAGTGAAAATGAGTTCAGAGCAGCTATAATCAAAAAACTCAATGAGGTAGAGAGAAAGATAGAGAAACAAGCCAATGAGTTCTGGAGTTACTTCACAAAAGAGGTTGAAATTATAAAGAAGAATCAAACAGAATTACTAGAGATGAAAAACACAATGGACCAGATAAAACAGAATACGGATTCCCTGAATGCCCGTGTAGACACCACAGAAGAGCAAATTAACATAATCGAAGATAGGCTGAATGGCTCCAGACAGAGGAAGAAAGAGAACTAAAAATTAAAAAAAATGAGGAAAATCTCCGAGAGATAGTGGATTCAATGAAGAGAAAGAACTTAAGGATCACAGGAATTCCTGAGAACGTGGAAAAGGAGAATGGAGCAGAAAGTGTGCTTAATGAAATTATAGAAGAGAACTTCCCAAATCTAGGGACTGACGGAGAAATGTGTGTAGAGCAAGCTTTCAGATCTCCTAGATTTGTCAATGTAAAAAGACCTACTGCAAGGCACGTAGTAGTATAAATGGCAAAGATGAAAGACAAAGAAAGAAAACTCAGGGCAGCAAGACAGAAGAGAATAACCTACAAAGGAGCTCCTATCAGACTTTCAGCAGATTTCTCTACAGAAACCTTACAAGCTAGGAGAGAATGGAGTGACATATTCAAAGCTTTAAAAGATAAAAATCTTCAGCCAAGAATACTCTATCCAGCAAGAATATCCTTCAGATATGAGGGAGAAATTAAATCTTTTCCAGACAAACAAAAGTTAGCAGAATTTGTAACTAAAAGTCCTCCACTACAAGAAATCCTCAAGAAGGCTCTCATATCTGAAAAAAGAAAACAGGGAGAAAGGGGTCACAAACCCCAGAGTAGGGAGACCGATGGACAGAACCAGAACAGGATAGCAAATATTCAACTACAGCATTAGGGTAAAAGTAAGGAAACTACCAAAGCAAGGACAATCTTATCACTCTAACTACAAATTCATAACACGAGTTGGAATAAGAAATGAAAATAATTATTTAGGAGGGGAAGAGCAAAGGGTCTAAGTCAGTCTAGGCCAAGTAAGTAAGAGACTACCAGAGAATAGACTATATTATACACGAGATTCTAAATACAAACTTCAGGGTAGCCACTAAACTAAAAAACAGAACAGAGCCACAAAACATAAATAAGGAAAAATCTAAGAAACCCAGCATAAGAAACTGCAGTATTAAATGGGTAGGCTAAAGCACACAGGAA